ACCCAGTTAGGCGTAATCGGCGAACATACATAGGGGAAAAAAAAAAAAAAAAAAAAAAAAATACTGATCGAATTGAGTAACCTCCTCCTTTTTCGAAGTCGGTTAAAAATATATTCAATACTAAGAACAACGTCGGAATGTAAGCTGATACAAATGAACTTAAAATTGTAATATAAATGAAACGCGTTGTTGGATGGCGGGTTAACCGGGAGCTTATCAACCTTTTATAAGAGGTTGGATTTTCGAGGGCAATCCGGTGAATTTTCCAAAAAATTGAAAGCACGACGTATAGCTCAATTGATTTTCAGTTTATTTAATAAACACGTAAATTACACGTAACGAAAAACGCTTAATTGTAACAATACAAAAATAATAAAGATAGGTAAAGCGAAAATGGTTGGGTTTGGTTATTCGATTGGCGGTTCGTCAACGACTGTATTCGAAAAACGGGTTTGACAAAAATCCCGCAAAAATTCGGTGGGTAAGGCGCATGCCCGAACGCTAGGTAGTTGGCATTTTTCTCAACCGAGTGCGCTGACGCGGTCTATTCCGCAGTGCGTTCTAGCGTGTTCGAACGATTCCCAACACACCACCTCCCCGTTGAATGAACGAATTCAACAATGACAGTCAGTTTGGTGACACGGTGAAGTGAATGACTTTATTCAATCTCTCTTACATGGGCGTGGACAACTACGCAAAAGGTGATTACAGTATTTACGTTTATATTCGAACTTAAAACTAATATCAAAATATAATAGATAATTGAAAAGTTTTTCGCGGACGCATGGACAATAGGTTATGTTTCGGAACGCAGTTTACGAATTACGTCGCGGCGTGGTTTTCGCCATTGAGCGAAATCGGAACAAAGCAAAATTTTGAGAGCGGTTGTTTGTATTCGGATTGTGCACTTTTAATGGTAACTACGCGAACAAGGCTATCGGCTCCTGGGTGATACGCGATAATTCGACCAAGTTCCCATTGGCTCAGGGGAAGATTCGAGTTTCGAATAAGGACAAGCTGACCGACTCTTTTAGGGGATGCTTCGGAAAGTTCTATAACAATACTCGCAGAGTGTCTCTTTCCTGCTTTCTGGAGATGTACTTCGCTGTCCATAAACAATTCTTCTTGATTTGTAAATTGGACTGTCTTTTATTTTTCGCATTTTGGTTTTGATGGTGGAAGATTGAAAATCTTTTTCAGGTCTTCCACGCTTAGAATATGAACCATTTTATTATTTATTTATTATTGCCTTAAATTATGTGAGATTTATACGGCAGTCATAAAGTACAATAACAGGGTGCGGCAGACGTACCATATTTTAAATCGATACGGCGCCACCTATCGGATAGCTAGCGAAACGACCTTATGCTCGTTAAAAAGAGAAAGAAAGCACATTTTTTTGGTATATTCATTTATTCGGATAGTCGTGTAGTTTTAAAAATTACATCACTTAAATGATGACTGCGATTTTCGATACAATTCTGCAGCCGTAAAACGAAATTATCGTAAACTTTTTCCAACATGGTCGTCGGAATAGCCGCCGAATGACGCCGAATCTCAGTCTTGAGGGCCTCCAAGTCTCGAGGTTTGGTTTCGTATACTTTTGACTTCAGATATCCCCATAAAAAAAAATCGCAAACAGAAAGATCGGGCGAGCGCGACGGCCAGACAACTTCGGCGCCTCTCGAAATTAAGCGGTTACCAAACATTCGTCTTAACAAAGTCATCGTTTCTCTGGCCGTATGACAAGTCGCTCCGTCCTGCTGGAACCAGGTACGCGATAATTTCCTCCTCCGCGCGAGTTCGGGGCGAATGAAGTCTTGCAACAGCTGTTTGTAACGGTCGCCGTTGACGGTTCCGTCGAAGAAGTAGGGACCGATCACACCCCACGCCGCTACTCCTATCCATGCGGTGACTTTAGGCGAATGAAGGGGCTTCTCATGAATGATGCGCGGATTCTTGTCGCTCCAGTAACGAAGATTTTGTTTGTTAACGTCGCCGTTTAGGTGAAAATGCGCTTCGTCTGTAATCATGATCGCGTTCAGTGGAATTGCATTCGACTCGAGTTTCTGTAACATCGTTTCGCTGAACGCGATTTTCGCGGCATGATCGGCGGGGAGGAGTTGTTGCGTATACAGAATTTTATACGGATGATAATTTAAATCCTCGTGGAGTATTCGTCTTACCGTACGGTCAGACACATACAGATTTTTTGCGTGCATTCGGGCGGAGCGGCTTGGTCTTTTTTGAATTGCTTCTCAGACGCGCGCGATCAAAGGCGAGGTTCTTACACTTTTTGGCAAACCAGGAGGTTTTTTTTTTACACACAGAGTCATTCTCTCGGAAATTTTTGACCCATAGCTTCAATGTTTTTGGCGTGAAAATCTCCTTTTTACCGGTTAAAGAAAAACGTTTTCGAAAGTCGCGAACCGTTAGAATGTAGGAATCGTTATGGCGAAAATACGACTCAACCGCATATGCGCGCTGTTCGACAGACCAGTCAGCCATGGCGATCAACTGTGCTAATGAATAAAATAGGCATCCGTCCTCTTTCAAATGAGCATCGGGTTGTTTCGCTAACTTACCGATAGGTGGCACTGTATCATTTTAAAATATGGTAGGTATCTCTGCCGCACCCTATATTACAGTTATTTTACAGTAGGTATAATAGTACATGTAGTACAATGGATCAATACAGTAGTTAGGTTACATTCATACATATGTAAATTATACAGAAGTAAATACAAATTAAGAAATAAGAAAAGAAAAATACAATTATTCATTAATACTACAATGTTAATAGATAAATTCTTAAACTATACTTAAATTCTTAAAGAACACTGTTTCAGGAAATTAAAGATAATACGCAGATCACTAATATCGGGACCAAATAGAAAAGAGAGAATGCTAAGAGGAAAGCGGAACTTACGCCTGAGAGGTAGTCTTCGCAGTAGTTTGCGCTCATCCTCGTAATCTGGGCATTGCCAGATGACGTGGTCGAGATTTTCAAATTCCGCTTCACACCTACACTCATTGTTGAAAACAAAATTAACTCTGGCTAATGAGGCGTTTAAATTATAATGGTCGGAACCATTTGGAACTGGGCTCGCGCCCAGTAAACCACGGCTTACCCCAATCTTTGTGAAAATAACGAAAAAAGTTGATACCTTTAAAAAAACTTTGCTCTTTAATATAATTATTAATAATTCAAGCAACGAGTACATTGCTTGAATTTTAAAGCCACAGAGTAAATCAGTAAGTGGAACTTTGTTATCTGGGGAAGGCATTTCACCTGCCGCTTCTTTTGCGAGGGAGTCCGCCCTTTCGTTACCGCTAATTCCGATATGTGCCGAAATCCAAATAAACGTGACAAAATTTTGATTATTACTATTAGAAACAAAGGTGGCATATTTAGTTTTAATTTCAACAAGATGAATATTTTTATTGTAATGAAAAACTGGCTTTTGCAGTGATTTAATTACGCTTAGAAAGTCGGAAGCAATAAGGAAATTTCCCCTAGTATGAGACATGGTCAGATCTAATGTTCGATTCATGGCACAGCATTCTGCTGCGAAGATTGACGTTCTTGAATTTATGCCAATTTTTTGTGAGATATTAAGCTGTGAACAGTAGATTCCAGCACCTACCGATTGGAAGTTCTCTATTTTGCTCCCAAGAATATGAACCATTTGCGCCTTGAGAAGTATTGGGTAAGGCTTCAATAACGATACTTGAAAATACAAGATTTCCTTGAAGCCACGAGCAATTTGAAGCTAAAAACCTAGCTTGATTATGGCCCGCTTTATCCCATCTATAAAAATGAATATATGTAAATAATATAATATTAATAAAAGCGAACGACCGTGATTGAACAACAGCTAAATGTTCTTAAAGATCGTAATTATTAATTCTAATACACAAAGTTTTCAATTAAAAAGTACAATATGTTTTCATACCTCTGTTGAATTTTTTGACAAACACATCTAATTGTCATTTTTATACATTTTATAGCTTCATTTGTCAACACACAATAACTCAACTGTTTTAATATATATTCGACAGCGGCACTGACATTTAAATTTTTCTAATTCACAATCCATACGTCGAAAATCGATTGTCGCGTAACGTGGAACGCCAGCTTTATGGTCCGTTCTGTACGAAGGTAACGTCGACAGCGTTGTATCGAAGATCTATTTATTATTAGTTTATCTAAATCATGGTTTAGAGCTTCAGCAGTAGTAATTATAACACGAACTGCTTCACGATCACTTATTTTACAATTGTCTAACACTGCTACAGGGTTTTCGATAATGACTTGTATCCTTCCTTTTCGTTTCTTCGCGTTACTTGGGTCAAGTTCATCAAGAAATTCAAGCGCAAACGAAATATCTGCAGCATGGTGTTCAATATGTTCTGTTCCACTGCTTGATGAAGACTGTAGTTCTATCTCTTCTACAATACAGATACATAAACAAGATATAGAGTGCATAGATCAATAAAAACAGTTCATTAAAAATATGTCATACCTTGCACTTTGTTGGTAGTTTTGGTTCTTACCTTCGTTTTTCAGCCAGCAATTCTTTATTTCATGCCCTTGTTTCTCACAGTGTTTATAAAATGCAGTCTTTGGTCTATTGAACGATGTGTTTTTGAATGGTACCTGTTTGACTCCTCTCGAATGTAATGCCTCTTTATGGTCTACGTCTTCTTTTGCATTCCTAGTCTTACGTCTATTAAACTCGGTCAGTAAAACTTCAATTATTTCTGCTGAAGTAAAGCTGCCGTCTGGTAGTCCTGCTAGTGACATGTTTAGATTCTCATATGAATCTGGAAGTCCTGTTAATATAATACATGTTAGATCCTCATCTCGTGGCTCAGAACCAACTTCTCTTAAATTATTAGCTAATACTTTTATTTTTTATATATACGTTGACATGGTATCATCTTTTTTTTTGGACTGATAAAGCTTCTTTTTCAGTTGCATTATCCTCACTCTTGATTTTGGTTGATGAACCTGTTCTAAAGCTAAGTATGCTTTATGAGAAGTTACACAATCCTCTATGTGTACTAGTTGATTTGGCTCAATATTTAGCCCTATTGCTGCAATGGCTTTATCATCGTATGATTTATGCAGTCTTTTCTGTTCTGCCGTAGCTGTATCGTCTAATATAACGTGGTTTAATAAACCTTTTTCGCGCAAATATCACTTTAGTTCTTGAGCCAATTCATGAACCTCTCCGGCCTGGGGGATTCCTGCCCGCAGAATACGCAGCAGTGGCAATAACTGTCGTGGAGCATAGCTCAACACACCACTGAGCATTGGATTCCTATGTTCGCATAGTACAGGGGTAACGATATTAGCACCCTGTTTAACATTCCCGATGCACTCTAAGTACATCGCGAGGGGCAATGGAAGCGAAGACACCATGTTATTAATGTCTCGGAGTTCCTCAGCATTATAATATTTCCGAGATGGTAGGTCTTCGTCCGGCTTATCAATGTGCGCTCTCTGCGCAAAAGCCACTTTGGCTTCAGATATTATTAACATCCCCTTCTGGAATATTCGACGATTTTCCATGGAATTCAATGTCTGGAACGGCCGTGTACCGATAGCTTCCATCGTGTCCCATGTTCTGGCAATCAACTCCTGTTGACCCTTGAGACTAATTGGAACCACGGTAGGGTGACGCTCCCTTTGTATCTGAACTGCAGTGACTGCAGTTGTGTCCGTCAACTTAAGACGCGCAAATATACCAGCTGTAATTTCCCGATCGGTTTCCTCGTTCTTCTTGAGGCGGTACGAATCAGTTCGTCGTTGACGCGCACCTTTACCGGTAGGAGCTGACTTCTTGGGCGGCTTGGTCTCAGACACCACTACGTCGGTAGCTTCCTTAGTTTCACTTGCTTTCTGTGAACTCATAATTGAATGATTTTTAAGTTTCGGCTTAATCAGTCGATGATTTAAAAATCGGTTTTATTCTGTTTGTTTCAAATATCTTATTAGACTGTACGCGTGGTAGTTCTATGCACGTGATGAATTTTAGGTTATGTCATTTACTTACGTTGTCTGGGCCCATAACCGATGTTGGATATAATCAGAATGCCTGAATACATTAATAAGTATTTATTTAAAAGAATAAAACAGGTTTAAGTATCTATTAAGTAATAATAATGAGAATATATGTAATAACTAATTTAACGGACCGAACGCACGTGATGCGGTACAAGAAGAACATCGAATAAGGTACACGCCAGGTGGCGCTCAAGGCGAGGCGAGCGAACCCCTTTTACACTTCTATTATGGTTTCAAATAGTACTTTTCGAAACTCTTCTTGCTGCAGTAGAACTGCTTGAGATTAGGCCTGGTCGTCCTTTTTTTCGCTGATTTAATAAAAAAAGCTTATCTTCTTCGGTTTTAATGAGAGCGTCAGAATGCGCGATGTCGAAAAGGTCATTTAATGAATCGAGAAACTCTCTTTCCTTTTTTTCCTATACCTCATTCCGGCGTTTTCGAGATTTTTGCAACAAACGTCAATTACTATATAATTTTAATAACTTATCAATGCTGTGGTATGTTATTCTGGTAAAAATCCGTGCTTTATCCGAGAAAACTTCCGCTTTCTTTATTACCGCACTTTGGTGGAGCTCCGCTTAACTTTACGCACATTATGAAACAGAACACGTAAAACTTGTCTGTTGCTTGGAACGTAATAATCCAATTGGAACGAAAATGGTCCTTTTTTTTCTTAAGAACTGCGAAGGGCCCTTTGTACGTATGAAAGAATTTCGCGATTTTTCGCGCAACTGCGCTGGATGCCGGGTTCGTTTTGACCAATGTATAGTCTCCGATGTCGTATGAATCGTAATTTTTTGTCATGTTCTACATCGTTGTCTATATCCGAGCAAGTGGATTGGAACCTCTCTCATGGTCTCTTAGGTTCAGCCTTTAAAAACAATTCCGTTGGGGTGAAACCGGTGCTGTTATGTTCGACTTCATTGCAGCACGTCTCAATGACGTCTATCCATTTGGCCCACGATACATGGGTGAAGGATGCCAGAGTGTGCCTTTTTCTTAACACCTTTAGGTCCACCCCGGGGAGTATCATCGTTCATAGAATTTCAATTCGGCTTGGAAATAAAAGAAGTATTAGAGAAATAAGTTGTATTGTTTAAGTGGGCAAATATGAAGATATTCTAACTGATGCTAGATTTAACTGATTTTAAAAGTTTTTGGATGGACATCGATAATTTTTAGACTCCCCCATATACTTTTAACATCATAGGATTATAACAGATGTCAAAACGAGTGCAAGAATATGCACGCTATGACCTTCAGACTATCTTGAAATGAGCTTGAAATGAGAAAGTCTTTAGTTGAATAAACACAGGCAAACGAACTCCGCCACTATTGTCAAGATTGTCGGATGAATGGAACATGGTTAAACAAATTAAATAATATAATGTTAATGCGATCGTTTTGATAAACAATAACATACAGGTCTGTGAATCCTGTGCCGAGGGAAATTCGTACCTGCGTTGTGCGTATTAACATAATTGGCTGCAGTGTGTAAAAAATACATCGTTACTCGAAAAAATGTTTACGTCTAGTACGGTTCGCATTGATTGCCTCTAACGTATTCTGCCTTTACAACCATAAACACGACATAGGGTTCTTCACTTTTAAAAATATTTTTTACGCCATTTACATCCAGGTATCCTCCTGTTCTTACGAAATGCATCAATATAAGAAGTGTGCCAGAGTATGGAGATGCACTTCTGTTGGTACTGTGAAAGCTTTATCATTTGATTTTATGTGTCTTACTTTTGTGCGAATGTATTGTTTTATTTTCGTTAGACTTATTGTTACTAAAAAAAACATTCGAATGTAATAATAGTGCTAAATGCACGTCATAAAAAAATCTCGTGCGATAGTGAAACGTATTATCAAGGTAGATGAAGTTGCTAAATATCATGAGCGCTGTGTGAATACAATTGGATCTGTATTTTGTGGTAAACGCAGATTGGTTGTTTATAGAAGTCAACAACCCACTGAAACTAAAATTCTGATACTGATGACAACGTAACGAAACGGGATTTTTATGTTGAAAAATTCCCAGGAAGTCTTCGTGAAATTATTCTTTAAGAAAAGTTGTGCATTCACATAAATATTGCATCTTGTGTCAGGCGCGAAATCAACAATTGCGATACCACTAGATATGCGCCTTCAAGCATTCACTCCAAGAGGAATTCATATACCGAAAGATTATCAGTGTTGACGCACTTACATACATAATTAAAAAGCGATTTTATTTAATATGCGAGTGAATGGCGAACTGTGCAGGTCCTAATTTTGTTTTTATTCAAATTAAAAAGCCGTGCCTCCGTTGCTACAATCCAAAGTACGTTTGGTTTAGCATGCGAACAGCAAGTATCGGAATATTTTCGTCAAGTGGTTGCTGCCTCTCAGAAAGAAGTTTAACTCAGCCGTTTTGGCATTTATGCAAAATCGATAGACAATCCAAGAAGTGAAACTGCAAGAAAAAATGCTGCAAGAAAACTGATACGGAATATTCAGCATTAGGTGTAGTATTTGATGGTCCGCATATCTGGCACAAAAAAAGTGGTAGTAATGAATGTCATTGAAAATCATATTATGGACAAAATACTGAAGACACTATTAGAAGATCAAAACGGAATAAGACTTTAAGCGACCGGTTGACTTTTGCCGATCGTGGCTTTCGAGATATCCTTGTAAGAAGAAGGATATAATGTCGTGATTTCGGCGTGTGAACATAATTCATTACAATTAACGATTCAGGAAACCAATGAATCACGATTCATTACAAAAATAAAGTATATAGGTGGTCGAAATATTGTATGGTGCCATTTTTCAAAAGTACCCATTACATTACGAAATGGACAACAAACTCCTATCCAGTTTAAAATCAGTATGACTGATAGCGTCTTTTTCATGCAATATATTTGGAAAAAGACTGGAAGCAAATCAATCATATGAAAACACGTCAAACTGAGGGTAATGCCCTTCACCAATTGATAGAAACTGAAATCGCAAAAAACCTTTCAACCAATGACTGCCACCTCCAGGATGCCCCAGAATTAATTGGCAAAGACCAACAGGATACTATTCACAGGTACGTATTAATTGTTACAAGCAGTATCCCATTTTGCGGAATTATTGAGTAATGAGTAACATGTTGAATATTATTTACAGACACGTCTCAGTTAGTGCAGGTTATCTTGCAAAACTGCTAAATAAAGAAAACTCTTTAAACGTGGAGTATTTGATAGAAAACAAAAACATTATTAGAATGAAGGCTTATATTAATCGAAAAGCGTATCAGTGTTACATGAAAAAATTCTATTAGTTACATGGCAATCACAAGATACATGCAATTGTGCGAATGGCAACAGAGCAGTAGGTTGCTGTTCCACTTAGCTGCAATTATTACCAATCGCACGAGTGGTTTAAGTTAAAAATAGTTAAAGCATCCGAAATATTAACAAATACATTCGACACAACACAAATAATACTAGTTATTGAGGAAAATAACGATGAAGATTAAATGAAGACTTCTTCATTATGTTTTTTTAATTCAACCGATATCCTTGCACACTTTTTATATTGGTGCATTTCATAAGAACAGGGCAATACCCCACTCACAAATGATTATGTGATTTTCAACATTTCTGTGAAGTTCTCGGTGAAGCAATACGTGGTTTGGGCGGAATATTCAGTTGCATTATTCGCACGATACTTGCTTGGTTAACGCTATGTTCCCGAGCGAGTTTTCTAGTGCTGATCTAAGGACTTACATTTACTGCAACAAGAATGTTGATAGCATTTGCTTCATTTGTTACACTTTTTACTTACATGGGTTTCTTATTTTCTACGCTACCTATTTTACCAAACTTTTTCTATTGAAGTAGAAAGAGATGGTACATACCGTACAGACTCGGTGGTACATACAATGACTCCCAGAAATATTCTGACATCAGTGCACGGTTAGCTTTATGGTAGTTATTAAACAAGCAATTTCCGTTACTATTTCCAATAAGTCATTTATTAACGTTAATAAAGATATATACATAGATCCAAAAATTTACATGCATTATATAATTGCAATAAACAAATGGAAGCATACGACATTTTCAGCTTACAAAAATATTCGGACACTTAATACGTTTCACGATTCCGTATTTCTCAGGAGTGTTTCGAAGAATGGTAAATAACTATGATATTAATAACTACGACATCAAGTCATAAAGCTAACCATACACTGGTCCGAATATTTTTGGGAGTCACTATACCTGTAGCTTGTTATAAACATGTTTATTTATGTTTAGAAAACATTTTCCATTGACGATATACGCGTGCTGTGAGCTTACGGCTCAATAAATTAAATATTCGCTGATCAAACGGAATAGAACCTATTTTTTAATTCAAGGTCATACATCATAGTGTATCACATCGTACTGGTCTTGACATTAGTTACAACCCTACGATGTTAATGCACCCTATGGTGCAAAACTTCAAAATACTTGGAAAGCGGCAACAGTTGTAAATATATAGTTACATCTTGATATTTGTCCCCTTAAACAGTACAACATTTTTTTCTATATTTTTTTCTACCTTTAAGCCAAATTGAGAAAATTGGGTGTTCTGTTTCTCATGAATTACTCGGTATGTCAGTTTTATTAGATAACGAACAGTTTGAATAAGTTAGGTAACATAATTGTGACAATAATGGTATTCCTAAAAAAATGTTTCACACATAAATATTTTCACTACATACACTACTCAAAAAAATTAAGGGAACAAAAAAATTCCTTAAAATTTTAGGTCATTTTCAGATTGCTGTATCTCCGTTGGTATTAATCACAGAAGAATTCCAGAATAGTCATTTTGAAGCTTCAGGCCTCTAGTTTTCGGCCTTTAGTCTCAAAAGTATTTTGCGCCCATTTTCATTAACAAAATATGCAAAAAATCACGATGAAAAAATAAAAAATTTTTTTTTCTTTTTTGTACGGTTTGCACTGACGCAGATAAATTTTTTTGAATAATGCCATTTATAGGGCGCTATTCTTTGTTTCTTCCCCTATAATTTGCATGTCCAGGAAGTCGATTTCGACGTTTGGTTAC